TGTAAATTACAGGAAGAGTTTCCTTTAGATGTGTCTGGATAACCTTAAAGTAGAGGGTGACATTGGTGTCCAGCAGGCCACGCAGCAACTGATACCGGTTGATAGGAGAACTGAGTCGCTTGAATTGTTCCCAGCAGCGCTCCACTTGATCATCAATTGATTCCACAGATGGCGGCAGCATACCGACAACACCCAGGTGCTCACGCTCCTCACGTGTGAACGCTGAAGACTTGTTTGTGAAGCGGTTGCGCAGAAAATCCACGCCGCGCACAGGTCGTGCAACGACCCCGCCAAGTAACAACGACCGCCTAAGCATTTGCTTTTACCCAGGTTGATTGTTGAATAAAAATATAATATATATATATATATATATATATATTATAAATCCAAATAGTAACCTTTGCTGATTGTTCTTCTGAAAGAAAATACAATGTATGTTGAATTTGATATGACTTCAAACAATAAGTCAGTCAAGAACCAACAAGAGAGCAAAGCAAAAGGCAAGAAATAGAGAGTCAGGCACAACATGCAAGGGAAGCGAGTGTCTAACAGACCCCAGGCTGTGGAGGCTGCATCAAGGCACGCACGCAGAGTTGAGTGTAGCGCCCATAACAAAAGAAAACAACAAAAACGTGTTTCAGGAGCAGCTGCAGTTGCCGCTGACGCCATGATGGTACAACGACACTTCCGGCCCATCCTCATTTCACCCCCAGAGACTTTAGTGCTTTTCGTCTTGTTCTCGCTCGGTCCCTACACCTCACCGCCTGCCAGCCACCACAAGACTAGTGGCCGTCAACGGGGTGCGGAGCACATTACAGAGGCTGACGCAGTGAGAGAAGGGAAAGTGAGGAGCAAGAAACACTAACACCAATAGCACAAATGATCAAAAAACAAACACAAAAACACGCACGTATTCAATGGAATATTGTATACATTGCAAACGCGGCACAAACATACATGATGTATAACGCACGAGACAATGGATATTGAAATACCACTGCCTTCGTGCCGCAGTTGCACGGAGTACGCTGAACACACACATCACATACAGGTATGTACGCCCCTCCTTGTAGGGTTGGGTGTGTCGAACTGCCCGCATTGCACGCACACAACAACGGTGCTGTGGTGCGTATCCCCGTCTGTCTGATTGTCTGTTTCTCGTCGCACTCCCCAAAGACGGGATGCAGAGATGCAGAAAAACACATACTTCGGACAGCACCCGCCAGAAAAACACGGAGCATTAGAAAGTAATGGTGTACGAATGAGTTATGCGCACCGCCTCTCGCGCCCCGTCACCCCAGTAAGTCTTGTCAATCCTTTATTACCGTTGATTTATTTAAAATGTTTGTTATCCTCTTTTTGATGCATGCTGCCATACGCAACCGCAGATTTTCTCCTCATTCCCTTTAGCTCACTTTCCTTTTATCGCAATGGAGATTATTGATTTATAACACTTCCGTTACTCATCCATCGCATACATCTCTCTGTGTTTCATTTTCTTTTGTGCGCTCGTGGTGCCGCCACACCCTCCGCTACAAGCACCTCTCTCCCCCCCAACACCTTACTCCACGTTCACGTCGATGGTGGGCGCGTACACCGGCTTCCACATGGTCTGCTTCACGTGGGCGAGCAGCGCGTCGCGGGTGCGCGGCAGCTGCGTGTTGCTATCGATCTTCAGCCGCTGCGCCTCGAGGATGACATCGGTGGCGATGTTGGCGGAGATGCTGTGGATGTCCTCCAGCGGCGGGTACAGGCTGCCCGCGTCCAGGTCCGCCTGCGAGGCGAGCCCGTTGAGGCACTGCGAGGCGGTGATGAGGAGCTCGTCGGGGATGTGCGACGGCTGCGCCAGTGCACAGCCAAGGCCGATGCCGGGGAAGACGTACAGGTTGTTGCCCTGCGATGGCATGTACGTCTTGCCGCCAAGCGTCGTCGCCGGGAACGGACTGCCGGACGCGATGATCGCCGCGCCGTTCGTCCACTTGTACGCGTTCTCGGGGATCAGCTCCGCCTTGCTGGTCGGGTTCGACAGCGGGAAGATGATCGGGCGCGCGGTGTTCTGCATCACCATCTTGACGATCTCCTCCGTGAAGACGGGGCCCACGCCGCCGAGGCCGAGCAGCGTCGTTGGCTTCACGAACCTCACAACGTCCTCCAGCGTGCACAGCTTCGCAGAGTCCTCCGCAGAGACGTCGGTGCGGGCGAGCAGCACCTTGTGCGCCGCCAGCTTGTCACCGCGCGTCGTCGTCACAAGGCCCTTGGTGTCCACAAGGTAGAACGTCTTGATCACGTCCTCCACGCGGACGTTGTGCACGCGCGCGGTGAGCTCCGCGATGTTCTTCGCCACACCCACCGCAGCGGAGCCGGCACCAAAGACGACGATACGGTGCTGCATAGATGGCACCTGCGACAGCTTCACCGCGTTGAGGAAGCCGGCGGCGATCACCGCACCGGTGCCCTGGATATCGTCGTTGAAGCAGCGGTACTTGTTCTGGTAGCGCTCCAGCATGCCGAAGCAGTGGTTGTTGCTGAAGTCCTCGAACTGGACAACGGCATTGGGCCACACTTCTTTGGTGGCCTCCATAAACTCATCAAGGAGGGAATAGAACGCGGTGTCCGACACACGAGGGGTACGCGTCCCCATGTAGAGTGGATCATCGCGCAGTTTCTCATTGTTGGTGCCAACATCCAACATTACTGGCAACACACGGCTGGGGCGAATACCCCCCGCCGCCACGTAGAGGGAACTCTTGCCAATGCTGATGCCCATGCCGTTCGTACCGAGGTCGCCCAGGCCAAGGATACGGGAACCATCAGTAACGACAATGATGTCAACCAATGGCTTCCGCAGGTTCTTCAAGCTCTGACGCACCTTGCCCACCTCCTGTGTACTCAAGTAAAGCCCATGATCTTTTTGGTACATGGTGGCATAGCGCTCACACGCCTCGCCAACGGTGGGGGTGTAAATTACAGGAAGAGTTTCCTTTAGATGTGTCTGGATAACCTTAAAGTAGAGGGTGACATTGGTGTCCAGCAG